CATCAGACATCACAAACAGTTGCAACACATTGCTCCAAAACCATCAGTATGGATGGTGGAGGAGAACAGGTAAAAGCCCATGCCACGTGGGTTATGATACTTGCAGAGTGCAGACAAGCAGATGGCAGGACAAATGCTAGAAAGTCCTTGCCAGAAAAGTCAAAAAGAGTTTTCATGTGAGGTGGTGTGCTGCTGGATGCCATATCTGGTATGCAATGACAGGGACACCTGGGATACTCTGAATCAATTGTCAGGCCTGAGATATGGCTGCTGATTGCCCACCATGTACCCTGGTGAGGACAGCCTGGGCAGCTACCTAGCAGACCAGTGCAGACATTGTCCTGGTGCCTTCCCTGCAGTATGACAACCCATGGAGAGACAGCAGAATTTGGCGTGGTCTTAAATTAAGACTGGAGTGCGTCATAATAACTGACTGGTCTATTACCCTATGCATACCTCTTGCCATCTCTCTGGGATAGGTCAAGTTAGTTTCTGCTGGCCCCTGGGAAAAGGATGAGGCAGGGTTCCCAAGCCAGCTTCAGCGGGACAAAATTACGTCACATATGGACACATGTATAGTACTAGTTAAGTGGTTGGTCAGCATTATCTTGGGCCAATATGTAAATGGTCACTATGCAGATTTAGGTTGCCAGGTAATCCTGTGTTTAATGCTCTCTGGCAATGTCAGAGCAGGAGGGACTGTCACACCATGCTCCGCCTGGGTGCCCTGCAGATGTAATGTGGAGGTGGACCATCCTGGTCATGGCTACAGACCTTGCCCTTTATTTATGAGAGTATTGTAGGAGGTTCCTCTGCAGAGATGTGGCATTCCCTTGGGTCAGCCTGACCCCTGGGGCGCTGCGGATTATTGCACTGCGGGAGCCGCACTCACAGGGTTATCAGCCAGATCGCTTCCACCGTATCCTTCACGTCCAGAGCCAAGACAATGTGAACCGTGGGAGTCTTTGCCCTGAAGTGAGCTCCTGCAGGACAATACAGAGGCAGCTATAAAAACTTTGATTCTTCTGCTACAGGTGCTGAAGCGCTGCACTGCAGTGCGCCTCTCTGGAGTCCCCCTGCCTGCTCTGTCTCCTGTCACATCTGCAAAAGGGAGAGGCATCAGCCCTCTGCCATGCCCGCACCAGGATGCTCTTCTGTGCTGCCGCCGGTGGGAGCTTGGCAGTGACTTCAATGCAACCAGAAGTCTACGCAGGGAGGGTCTCCCATTGTGCTCCATCCTGTTTTCAGAGACATAAAAGGAAGAAGGCACTTCTTACATTCTCCTACGTGACCAAGAGCAACAGCTCCACGGGTGGATTTTTTTTTCTTTTGGGGAGAATGGTGGGTCTAGTAAAATAAATGGCAGGACTTTTTGTTTTGATTAAAGCCATTGTGTAGCTACCTCTTGTATTTTCTGTAGTCACAGAAAATATGTCCTACGGCTACACTCACAATAGAAGGCAGCTTATTTTTAAGATGAGAGGAAGACTTGACAAAAGGTTACAGTAAAGCATGAAAAGATAACAACATTGATAAAGTATGCCCTTATCATAAAATTATCAGCCCTAATCCTCGCTTTGATATAAACCTGGTTTTGGTTTCTAGCTGCAGGCTAAAAATTGTTACAATGATAATATGCTTTCTCAAATGCAATGGCAAGGTGAAAGAAAAACAATCCAAATATATATATCAAAACTAACTATGTGTTCTTATATGAAAAAGGCATTTTTTGTCTCTGGAGAAATGCCACATTCAAGCCTAAAGCATAAAATACAGTGAAGGAATAGATGGCAGTATTTAAAACATGCAGATGAGCTCCAGAAACTTCTAAGGGCATTAGCATAGCTGGCTGCAAAGAAGGTGCTATTTATCTTAGAAGTCACTGGGTAATGTGTAACATATACAGAAAAGAGAGGTACAAGGTCAGCTCTCTTACGCTTAGGAGCCCTGCTAGTTTGGAATTGAAAGTATTTTTTATGAGGCCCTTTGCCATTTAACTTCCAGGAAAAAATACAATAGCAAACAAATTCTTTCAACCTTTCCTCTTCTCTCTCATTTTCTGTGTAGGAAAGCAAGATTTTTTTTTTTTTTTTTTTTTTTTTTTCTTGTTTTTTTTTTTTTTTTTTTTTTTTTTTTTTTTTATCTTGAGAGTGCCTGAAAACTAAGAATAGATGAAAGAGAGAAATACTAACCAGCTTCTTCCAGAAAAATTCCCATATCTATAGATTCATATATTTTAGGGTTTCAAAGGAACATTATGATTATCTAGTCAGAACTGCCTGACAGGCTGTAAAACCTCACCAAGTAATCTCTCCATCAAGCGCATAACATCTGTTTGAGTAATTGCATACCTCTTAGAGAGATACCCAGTCATGATTTAAGGGCTGCAAGTGATGAAGTTCTGCAGTCCTTACTCAGGATTTGACTCAATGAAAACATTGGCATATTATGCTCTCTGTCTGTTAGGTTTGGAGGAACAGAAAGAAATACCTGGCTTTAAATAGAGCCTTGTTTGAAATCTGTATGAATAAACTCTAAAGAATTTAAAACAAACAAAAAGAGAATGCATCATAAGAATACTTGTGCACCACCTTCTCTTTTGTAAGGGCGCATGTTCTTCTACCCTTTTTCTTGAGCTCTTCAGAGAACATTGACAAAACAGATGAATCCTGCAGGTGGATCTCTTTGGGTTTAAACTGATTTAGTTCTCTAATTCAATGACTTATAGGAATAGTTTTCAGTATGATGCATAGTTCCTAATATACAGACTAGTCTTGTTTTACGTGTGGTAATGCTCCACCTTCAGTATGTTTTTACAGATACTAATGTCAAGAGAATTATAGCAGAGGCACCAACTTTAAGTAGTGAGATAAATTCTCTCACAGGTGCCGTAGGAATTCAAACTTTTGTACAGTAACAAGACTTCAGGTGTTCAGACTTGACAGCAGGGCAAAACGGTGACCGAACTGCTCACTTACTGACATATACCACAAAAACATCTGAGCGCTGTGGCAGAAATAAGGACTGACTGGCATTCTGATCAACATATTTGTGGAAGCTGTATAAATATATTTGGTTGTTAAATGTGATCAAGAATCCTGATAAATATATATAGCCATTTTTTGAACAGACGCGGATGCGATATGTTCAGAGATCACGTCAGGATGTGAACCTGTGCTCATATGCAACTTTAAAGTACGCACTGCCAGAAATTACTTGCTGCCTTTCACACACGTTAATAAATAGTAGAAAAATATAGCGGAATACAATATTGCTGAAACATGATCATGTTGGTAATCTTGTTTTCTGCAGTACTGAACATTAAGCATACATAAACATTCAAACTACGGTAGCTCTGCTTTTCAAATAGCAAATGTTTCCAATATTCATTTGCACCATCTGATACAAGAATAGATTTTGCTTACGTCCAGTGGTGTCCTGCTATTGCTTGAATTGACTGTCACAGCTGAAGGTCATGGATTGACTCGGTGCCAATACAAACAGATGAAACCACTTTTAAAAAATCTTACCTTACTAAAAGCAAGCACAAACTCCTGAAAAATGTAAACTTTGAAAAGAAAAGCATCAGTCATGGCTTCTCAGCTCATCTTTCAAAGTTAAACCAACAGAAAAAAGCAGTCATAATATTTGCACACCTAAATAAAACAAGCTAGGATTTTACTTTGGGACTTAAAACAGCTCCTTTCCTTTCCCTAGTCAGATAGAGACTTCTTGTGTGACCTTGGATAAATTGTTTGGGACAGGGTTTCTGAAGGTATGTAAATGCCTAGATGTACATTTAGATGTGCATTGGGGTATTTGCTGTGGATTCTCGTAACTAACAGGCGCTGAAAATGAGTGCATATCTACTTTTAAAATTACCTTTAAGTGTTTTTCCTAAGGGTAATTTGTGGATGACTAGGGGCCCACAAGCCCACGAATCTGGGCTATTATAAACAACACAATTAGTAATTATTTTCACTTTAAATTTTGTTGATAAGGTAGCATGGTGCCCCTGAAGCCTTGTAATATGAGAATAATTGTACCTTCACTAGCAGCTGTCAAATAAACACAAGACACATTGTGAGACAACCATATTGTGTCATAATGTAGCCATATTTCAAGCTTGAGTTAAGACAAGGGAAAAAAACCCACATGCTGCATAAAGAATATGTTTGTTTTGTAACTTGCTCTTCATGTTTCCACAGTTCATCGGGAGGGAGAAAGAATGCATCTCAATTCTCACACAAAAATCTAAATTAGGTACAGGGGAGTTCTTACACCAAAAACTGATAGTGCGTAAGTAGCAGAAACTGGACAATTGAGTGTGGCTTGGTACCTCCTGGAGGTTGCTCAGCACCTCAGAATCACGGCAGAATTTGTATATTTGTTTCAGGCTTGATTCTGCAATGCCAAATTAAATGAGTCATCTCAACTTATGCAGAATTCCCTTGAAATCAAGAGAACTAATTACACAAAAATCACTCAAGATGGAAGGAGTTGCAGTGAGGCCCTGCGAGAGCACAGCTACATGCACTTTAGACAATTGAAAAAGCTCTTTCCACAATGCACATCGCATGTGTATGAATAAGCTAATTGCTGACGGGAAGGCATTATTGGTGTTTATTAAACATGATGGCTCAGAAGCAACATCTGGCTTAAGGAATCCCTTGATTTGAGGAGCATGGACGGGTTGTTAGGGAAAAATAATTTAAACATATTTCTTATAATAATTCATAAACATTTGCTATTAGCAACCATCAGAGGTGGGATAATGCAGAAGGTTTACTCTGACAGTTACCATAGTCCAATGCTTCACTGTCACAGATTCCATAACATGTATGAGAAACTATCTTCCAGTCGGAAAAGGGCATTCTCAGATCTCTAGATCATAAACTTCAACATTTACACTTGTCATTTTTTACCTGCCACGGTGGAGCAGTCACTATTGAGGATCTTTATATTGACAAAGTAGATATTGCAGATATTATAATGAGATTGCTGTATGCTATTTAACAGTTTAGTTTTGCTATAGTTTTTAGTTTTATAGAAATACATTTATTCTTTGTACTAAGAGGCAACAAACTTTTCTGCTTCAAATTATTCAACTACAGTTAGTCCACTTTAATTATTGCATATAAAAGTGTTTTATTCTTTTTTTCAATCAGTGACTGGCAGAGATCACTTAGAGCATTCAACTAGAACAGTCTCAATAAAAACTAATGAAAAGCTCCTGTGAGTTTGAGCATGGGATCTGGTAAACTCAATAACAAATAAAACATAATTCTAAACATTCATGTTTATGAAAAAAAAATTACAAAATCTGAACAATAAGTTAATAAAGTGAAATAGTTATCTACTGTTCAGATATAAAAATCCCAGTAACTTAATTTATATATCACTATAGCAGACATGACAAAATTGTGAATAATGCTATCCACTGTCACAAGTGGTACTTCAAGATTTCCAACAGAAAACTTATATTTTAATTTTCTGTTCATATATAGCCAAAAGTAAGAGGCAAAGCCAGCCTAATAGTAATCCAAGGTTCTGTAGGAGAAACATCAACCAGGGTCGCCGTGTCTGAATATGAGTCATTTCAGGAAGCTAAAAAAAGAATAAGACACCAGAATGAGAGCCAGATATATTCATCTCTGGGAAAAAAAGTCTTATGGGAAAACAAGACAAACTTCATTAAAAAAGACTTAAAAAATGCTCAGTTTCTGAATATAGCTATTAATCTGTAGTATGTTCTGTACATTGTAACAACACAGATCTTGACAGTGAAAAAGTTCAATTAGTAAAATTCTACCCACTTTGGTTCTTTTACCAGCACTAACAAGAATTATAAATAAGATTCCAAAATTTGTTAACTTCTCAATAGTTATTAGTAATTTTATACAGCTGTCTGTAAGGAAATGCTTATTTAGTAAAATTAGTGATTCCCTTTTGTGGGAATAAACTAGTTTGAGGTTTTTTGTTTCAGTACTATATATAGGGTCAATTCTGCGCTTACTGGCAACACTCCTATTTACTTGGGCTTTAGTAAACATACAAGTAGAAAACAGGATTTTTTAAATATGTTTTAAAAAATACACCTAATATTTTTCTCTGTGAGTCTTAAATCAAGTAAAGGAGCAGCAGCTGTTTATAAACATCTTAAAAGCTACTCACTTTGACCTTCCACCCTACATGGTCTCTTTTATCAAAGTTTTACACAAAATGTATGTCTCAACAGAGCCTGTGAAAATTATGCCTCAGGCTGACACTCTCTTAGTATTTATGCTTTCTGTACTACAGACACCAGTGATGACCGCTGATATTTTCACACCAACTTTGAAAATAAATATAGAGCAATGGGCTGGTACTGACCTTTGGTTTTGGTTGGTTGTTTTTTTTTTTTGTCTATTTGTTGTGAACATCAAACCAAGAGCGAGTGGTCCCAGCACCCTCACATCACGTTGCCTGGCTGCTCCACTCCCAGCCTGCGCTTGAATGAAGCTACTTATTTCCTCCGCTCATTAGAGCCTCCTCACAGGAGCTCTAACAGCATCAGCCACTGGGAGACAGTGGAGTGGTGCCGACCGAGGAGGCTAACGGGGTATGTATACATCTATTAGCTATGCTTGTCCTTCCCTGTGGCAGAGGGGGCGTCTCTGGCTCTGCTTCTCCGGCACTCTTCTTTCTCGGGAAGTTGGCATGGGCCCAAAAGAAAACTATAGTGAAAAATCTGCCGCCACTTTGAAGTTTTGCATAAAAATAACAGGCAAACCCAAAGGCAAAGGTCCTGGATCTTCGTAACAACCAGGCACTGGTTTAAATTATGGTACAAATTTGCATCTTAGGAACTCATGTAGTTATATTTAATTTGCATTTAAGGATCATCAGAAACATTTAATCTAAAGCCAATGTAAACACCTCAAAGCTGATGTAAATCAAAATCTGAACTGACAGCTTGTAAGTGTTTGGTCCACGTCGTTTTTGTTTTGTATATAAGTAAAAACTGTTAATTAAGACCTAGGCCTGAATCCAGGCTTCCAGTCTAGATCTTTGGTCTTACTAATTTATACTTATAAGCAGTCTATTTTGTCCTCTTCCATGACTCAACAAGTTCTCTAAATAGGAAACTTTTTCTCCTCCCACAGCAAAAGCTAGTATTTTCTCTTATCGCCATCAGTGCCAATTTATGAGTTACGCACATGCACAGTAAGTCCCCAAGAAAGTTTTAAAAAAGAATTCCCAGCAGGTAGAACCCTTCCTATATCCAGTGCAGATCTCTGCTCCCTCCACCTGGCCTATACGCATGTTATCAAGTGCACAGACTGTTTCTATAGCATTACCTAGTGTGACGTCCCTGTGTATCTCTTTGGAAATAAAAGCTGATTGCTGACACAGTATGAGATATGTCACAGTCCCCAGCTCTCTCGGAACTCGCCTATACACAAATGTCTGTGGTACAACAGAGAAAAGCTCGTTGTTTGGGAAGCATAAGCCTATTCAACTGGCAGATGCAAAACACTTCAGAAACTGATGGAAGATAGCAGCACATCCAAGCTGTTGGATGCCATCACACTTACTAATGCTTGAAGTCTGCTGGAGGCAAAAGAGTTACTGTTAATCAAGGGACTAATCTATTCCCACTCCAGCTCATGTTTTCATCATGAGCACACAAAAGATATAAAGAATTAGGAAGCAGCATGCTGAGAGAAGTCATGAGGGGTTCTCAACCCTGTGCTGGCTAGAAAAGAGTTCTGCCAAGCTGGGGCATATATGGCACAACTGCTGCACTGCAACAGCCCAATAAATCACTTAAAAAGTACTCCTTTATCTACAAAATCCGAAAGATTTTCAATGTTAGTTGAGGAAATTTCAGTTCGTTGCCTCAGGCAGTGGTTGGCTAGCTCCTATTTCTTGATATCCTTATTGTCTTTCTTGCTTCTATCTCCCTCCTTTCAAATTTGACAGTGACTCTTGCTGGTCAGGAACACAATAAACTAATATGATCTGTACAATCACTCAGAAATGACGTGCCAGTCATTGGGGTTTAATACAATGGGGTTTAATACATTGGGGTTTAATACAATGGGGTTTAATACATTGGGGTTTAATACAATGGGGTTTAATACATTGGGGTTTAATACAATGCATGGGATTTCATAAATATTTATCCCAATGATTATTTCATAGATACTCATTTAAGAGGCTGATACAGGATTTTCAAGTTTGTTTCCCAAGAGGAAAAGGGGACATGTTTTGTCAAAGAACCAGTTCATTAGGAGTGAGTTAGTCTGCTCCGTTCCATATAATGGTGTCTCAAGTTTCAATTCAGATTAAAGGCATGTTAAAGAAAAGGTATGTTATTAATGAAAGGATCTCTGGAGACAGTGCAAAGTTATGATTGTACTTATGACCTCTAAACAGATATCAAGTACAAAATATCTCACTATATTGCTCACAAAAAGCTAGTTTTCAGGGGATTTAATTTTGATTAAACAACTAAACCCACAATATTACAGGTTTTTACTCACACACATATCTTGAAGCAACTTTGCGTTGCAATATTACAGCTGTGCATACACATTTGCAAGGCAAAGTACCCCTCCCTTCCACCTTCCCCAATTACTGGGAAGATGAAGTTTTGCAGAATTCCTTGGGGAAAAATGATGAAGGACAGAAATGATTTTATCTTTTGTCCTTTTCCTCAGATTTTTAAAATTGTTAGCCTACCCTTCTTGTTAATGGAGCTAGAATGCCATTTGTAGAAATGCAAAGCCTTTAATTAACCACAGAAGTAGATTCATACAATCTTAACTGGTGGCAATCTCACAGTGCTGTCCTGTCAATGAACCTCCATCCTATACTCCTCAATGTTCCTCAATGCAGCAACCAGTGAGGTTGCTCAGTCTTGTTTACCTGCTGCTTTCTTATTTATGTATCTGCTGCTCTGACAAGCGCAAAAATAAGTGAAAGCCCATAAAACAAGTACTGAAAATTTTAGCTAAGCTTTGTACACCGTGAAGTGTTTGTACCTAATTGGCAGGAACACTGTTTGTAGACGAGAATGAAGCAGAGAATAAAAGTTATTTCTGTGCAGAAAGTTGAAAAATACATAAAGCATGGCTGATTTTCTCTTGAGATGTACTGTACAAACATACAAACTTTTCAGATCTATAGATTCCTGCAGTGCTACAGGAATATTTGTTTAAATAAAATAATCCCTGTGATATTCAACACTTGCACTTCTGACAAATATAGGTGAGCAACCCCACGGCAATTCTTTTGACAAAATGCAGAGAAAGGCTGATTGGAATCCCTGTTAATTAAAGGGAGGTGAGACAAATAAGATCTTCCCCTCTCTCTCCCTTCTTTCTCCTCTTCACATCAAGAATATGGTGACAAGCTGAGAACAAGGGAATACAGGTCTCTGTCTCTGCCTGGAGCTGTGTCATCTCTCAGGATTTACAGCTGGCACATTGCTTTGAAGACTCAGGGGAAAACATGGTGTTGTTCTGAACCTTGTGGATCCCTGATGGATGCTGATCCTACACTGAAGGAGAAATACGCCTAAACCATTCTTAGCCACATTAGTAAACCCATACCTACTGAGTAGGTAGGCAGCCTCACTTCCAAATTTCTGTGTGTCAGAACAAGATGCAACTTGGTACACAGTGATCTTGTCTCTTATTTACCACCTCAGTCAGGACTGTTGACACATCCCCAATCCTCGGGCAGTTCCCTCATATGCTCTTGGGAGCACTTTATGTTCATTTTACTTCCGTTACAGTAGCAAAAATAAATAGACTAATATACAACCAAGATCTAAGGTCAATTATTACAACTAAACTATCAAATGGGTTATAATACATATCAGGTTTCAAGTATTATGCTTGAACCTGGTAAAGAGTATCTCGGGCATGAGGTGGGGGGTGGTAGCGAACACAACAGAGAGACAGCCAGGCTAGGGAAAAACACAGTAATAATTTATGAAGACACAGACCTCTTTTTTTCCCACCTCTTGATCTAATTACTCAAAATATTCAGTCTTTCACAAGCTGGCAAGCAACTCTACATTAATACACATTGGTTAAAGAGCCATGTGATACTTAAAATAAGCTGGTGAGGTAAGTAAGTTCTACGTTGTTACAAGTGTAATAGTTAGCCATCTCTTCAATAAATAATGTGGCCTGAGAGAGCTGCCTGAGTTATGATTCTGCCGCATGCTTCCACAGTCCTTAGACCTTCTTCCTAATGTATAGTTTCACACTTTATTTTTCTGTAGCCAGATCATTGCTATTGAACTGGAAGTATGAAAAATGTTGGGCGAATATGAAAAAGTTGAGGCAATCTGGTGGGTTTTGAATTGCTTAGAGGCTCATCCAAACCTCTCTGAGAAAGAAAGGCTGGCCAGGAAGAGCACAGGATAAGCATCTTGCATTTTAGTTCAGAAACAGCAAATTCATGTTGAAACCATGTGTGGAAAACAGATAAAAAAATGTGGAGTAAAAAGAAAAAAAAAAGTAACTTCTTCACAATTTTAAAAAATCCTGCAGGTTGAAATGTTTGTTACACTAAGTAACTCTTCCAGGCCTAGAAATGTATTGTTTACCTTTCCCCCTTGAAGACTCCTTTATGCCTTTCTTGTATGTTGCTCTGTTAATAGCCTTTATTTCATCCTTCATTAGTAATTACACCTATCATAGCAGTGACACCAAACAAAACCAGACTACTGTTCTAAGCACTGCACACACACAGGACAGATGACACACTTTTTCCCTCCAAGTTAATCGACCTGCGTTTGTCTGACAGTCATCTGTGATGTGGCTATGTTCAAAGGAAAATATAACAATAGACTGAAGTTCTCACCATTTCTGCTAACGATAAATACAAGAACATTCCAGCTGTAACAGTAAAAATCCAGTTTTGAATGCAAGGGTCAGTTGATACAGAAAGGCCAATATAAAGTCCTAAGAATGCCGTTAGTGCACTTATGAAATTCATCAAAATTGCAACCTTCGTGGGGAGCCCTGTACTTAGCAGCACAGCAAAATCTCCTGCATAGAGAAAAAGACAGAAAATTTATAATTTAGCTGATAAATGTATTTGTAAAACTCTTGGTAGTAAAACATGAAGGAAAAGAATTAAGATATGCACAAAGATAGGGAATGATGGAGGCCTGCCCTTAGATTTCTGTAAAATTAGTTATAAACTCATCCTGTGAGAAAAAAACAAAAGCAAAAACCCCATATTGACTTGCATTTGTTTAGCTGTTCTTAAAGATAGCATACAGTATACAGGAGTGGCTTTCTGTTAGTTCTCGATGTTCTGTGACATTTCCAACTTGGATACATGCAAAAGTGAAGTCACATGCTTTCCCAGAGTTTCTAAATCTTTCTCGATTGGGAACTTGCCAGTTCAAATCATGTGAGGATATTTGCAGCATGGGCTCTGAGCGTTTTACAGGTGCTGTAAGTCAGAAAAACCAACACCAGTCCGATTCCAGTTTGAATATAATTCCACTGATTTCAACCTAATTGTCTTTGGTAAATTGTACATCACAATTGAATCACAGATTTTTCTTCTAAAATAAACTATTTCATAACAGGTCTACAGTAAAAGATTTTGAAAATTCTTCTCTGTGAGTGTAGAAATGCCCTTTGACACTGGGGCACTACTGCCCCAGGACAAAGAAGGTCTGTCTTTGGAGTTAGCTGTTTAGGATTTTGGTAATTTCTTTGCTATGCAAACAAGATTCACCAGTTTTACAGCAATGCCCCATCCCACCTTTTTGTTTGGGGAAGTTTTCCACACAGACAGCACGTGAAATCTCCAGTCATTTAAGAACAGAAACGAGAATCCACGGTTCTCATCTCAAATTTGCCAGCGTATATATATTCCTCAACACAATGTCAGAAACAGCTTCATCCACACTGAAAGATTTACCTCAAGGAGATAATTGAGGACAATGTTCAATAGAACAACCTTCCTGTCCTGCCTGCTGGTAAAATAGGTAATTTTTTTGTT